TCTCTGCCATTTTCAGTTGGTATTGGCCGTCACATTAGTTTGACACCTAGTGATCTCAGTTCTTCGGTTGTATCCTCGCCGCTGGATGTGCCCTCTATAGATCAGCAATCACTGCTTACTAATAGTGAAAGTGCTGCAGACAGTGGACCACGCTTTTCCTCCACTTATAGTACGGGCAATGATTCAGGCTATTCCGCCTTGAGTCGTGGTCAATTGTCCAGCGATCAATGGTCCGCATCTTATCAGTATTCTACCCGCAGCAGTTTAGGTTCCGTGACATCGGAATCGGAACGTGTAAGAAAGTTTAGTATGGATTCAAATTTTTTTGGTGGCAGCAGTCCTGGCAGCAGCCAGTTCTTGGAATTGTCTAGCGATGGCAGTTTGCAAAGACGTATATCGCGCAACATGATGACATCATTTGAAAACGAAAACTCCATGAATGACCTAATAGGTTTTGTCACGGATAACTACACCAATGTTGCAACCACCACTCATGGCGGAAGCGAAGGCATGAATTTGGCCGTAAATAATCCGCGTGCCAATTATTGTCCTAGCGAATCGCGCAGCAATCCTGAAATGGGCAAGAGGCGGGAAAATGCCCATAACATGAAGTCAAACTCACGAAGAGCCCGTCTAGGGCTGGCCGTGTGTGTAACAATGAGTGAATCTTTTGAAGAGGAAATGGAGTTATTCTGCAGCGAACACATAGCTCTTCTGGAGAGCATGTTAAGTCGTCTAAGGGCCAGCACCGAGAGGGCCTACATACATCACAGTCAATTTTTACAAATAATGTTTCAAATATGGCAAGATACTCAACAGTGGTTTTTGGATTTATTTACTGCACCTCGAATAAAGTGTCCTGTATGGTTAAGCATTACCACTAGTGGTAGCAAATACTCGAAAAATGTAGCAGAGCGTTTTATTAAGGAATTGTGTTGGCTGCTGTCATTTGCCGATACCAAAGATACAAATTTGTAAGTGGCCAACTCTGTAAAATTGTAATATATAATTAACGTCTTTATATTTTCAGTTTTGTTAGCACCATGTTAACAGCTATACTTACTCATCATTTAGGTTGGGTACCTACTGTTTCGCCTTTTAATTCCTCATCATCTACAGCCGCCATTGAACAAAGGGCAAAACTTCTAAAGGTTTCACAAAAACATCCCTACAATGCTTTATGGGCTCAACTGGGCGATTTGTTTGGCGCCATCGGATTACCCTCAAAACTGGCGCGCACCGTTATTTACGGCACCGAAAAGCTATCAATTGAAAGACTGTTAAATGTACTCACCTATTTTATAAGATGTGGCGAAGTTAGGAGATCGTCCAAAAAGGAGGATTTCAACAAAGAGAGATTAAATGATATTGTGGCACAAAATAAAAATGAACCATTGAAAAAATCGAGTTTATATGCTAGAAAAGGGTCGGTGTTTGTGCAAAACCGATCAGAAGGTATCCTAACACGCACGCCAACATGCAAACAAAATCTTAGTTCCATTGTCGGTGGAAACATTGATGAAATGTTGGAAAGAGATGAAGATGAAAATGATGATGAAGAATATGAATACGATAACCAATTGACTGACGAGGCAATTAGAACTTATAAAAAGAACGAAATTCCCACAGTATTGGCATTTAGAGATTCACGTTTTGTCCAGCAAGAATTGCGTATTGGTAACTATCTTATGGATACAGGTATTGAAAAGAACTCCATACAACAGTATCAACAAAGTAAACAAAAGGAAACGACAGGCAATCGTCAATCCGAAGGACGTATTCGTCTAACTCTAACCACACCCGATAATGTTGAACTAAATGTCGAAGACACACATCTTGATGAAGATGGTGCCATGGAGGCCATAGAAATAGAATCATTGCCAAATGAACCATCCTGTAATTTAAAACGCCCGGAGAATAAAAATTTGGTCAGAAAGAAACCCTTCTTTTGGGGCATGACCTCTTCAACAGTCAAAGAAGGTTTAAGTTTAAACGATTTAAACAAATTGCAACAACAGTGCTTCAACAAAAGACAACAGGAGCAATTAGTGCAACAACAGCAGCAACAAAAGAAAAAATCTCAACAGCTCTCTCTATCAGATCTCATTACCCAGAATAGTATGGGTAAAGGTGAACGCATGACATGGGGCATTGAGCCCGTCAAGGAGAACTTATGTTTGGAAGAACGAATACATTTTGAGTTGTGCCAGAAAAATATCGAACGTGATCATGGCATTTGTATGACCAAAGAGAAAAAATCAACTAGTGGTGGTGGCGGAGTAGTCTTCGTTTTGGGCGATAATGAACCATTAGTGAATATTAAAAAAAGTACAGAAGATTTAACTCAGACAGATCCCAATGAATCCTCTCCATCGTTGACCGCACAAGACACAAACAGCAATCAATTATTGTGCCCCCTTCATCAACGCATGCACAATACGGCCTCGAGTTCACAACAACAACAACAGCTGAGCAAAAAACACTCCGGAGTCAAGTTCAATTTTGAACAATACCCACAAATTGTAACCAACTACATGAAAAGTAAGAATTTGCTAATGTCCAATTATGATTTGTTAATGGATAAATGTTCAAAACTCGAATTACAAGGTGGAGGAGGAGTTGGTTTTATATCCACACATCTCGACAAATCATCAACAGCAACAACGGCTCAGCAGACAACACCGACAAACAAAAATACATTCCCCCAAACAGCAACGTTAACGAATAATGTCAACAACTGCATGGTTTGCAATGGTCTACTTAATGCCTACCAAACTCCCTCCAATGCTACGGAACTAGAATTTGAGACAGATGAGGTGCATAGCTTTACAAATAACAATAACAACGTCAACACAACAGCGCCCGCCTCAACATCGTCGATACCAACAGTCAGTTCTCAAACTTCAGTACAAACCCTCATATCATCGACTTCTCATGGCGGTTGTACTGGTCAGGAGGATACATGCGATGCTGCAAACAACAAGGATTCAATTGGCAGTGGTTGCGGCTGTAATCAGGAAGTTGAGGGAAACGAATCGAATATTGTAACATCACCCAAAGAAGGACGCAAGAAACAATTCAATACGAATCAAAAGAAACCATTATCTCAGCGTGGTTCAATCTCATCGGTAGCAGCCAAATGTGCAGCTGTTAACGAGGCAATGCATCTTTTGAAATTGCCAATACCAGGCATTAAAGAATTGCCACAAGAAGATGAACCACCAGGCGATATGAAGTTGCCGGTCGGCTTTGTACCGTCATTATTTTTAAGTGTTAATGATCACTACATACCTGATATGGTATTACAGGTGAGTTTGAAGTTAAACTTAATGGTTTTTGAGACGAATTTATTGATTTTATTTTATTTTAGGGAACTCTTGCGTCCCCTAAAAAATGGGAGATGAATTTACGCGAAGATCTAGCACTGGCTGCACATTCTGCCTCTCTTATATCACTGCCTGCTGAAAACATTGCCATCATAGCCGATATGGAAAATTGGGATGTTAAACTGTTATCATCACAATCTCAGCATTTTCCCTATGCCGGCGGACAGAGTGCTCCCGTAGGCATGTCTCAATTGGTCTCAACAATGCTGGAAACTGTACAGACCATGCACAATGCTGGCATCTCGGCCTATGAGGTAATAAATAAAACATTTATATACTTTTAATCTAATGTTAACATACAACTTATTTTTCTTTTTCTTTTAGTGTTTATCTTTTATGGAATCTAAATTGCAAGAAATCTATTTACACTCCGAAACATTGGCAGCATTTCTATTGGAAACAGATTTCTGTTCTCTAAGTGCAGTAACAACAGCACTAAATTTGTCAGAAAACGATGTACCACTATTGCTATCTATTGCGTCCATACATACACCACAAATAAGCAAGAAATGTGGCATAAGTTTCAGATGACAACCACCACCGTCACCATCGTCACAAGCACAACCAAATCGATTTACCAACAAATGCCCAAAACAAACCTAAACGAGTATTTTATAATAACACACATTCACATTAAATAATAACAAACACAATCTCATACCCATGACATTTCTAACCGACAACAGAATTTGTAAATAATGCATTCATTCATAACATTATTATCTTCATTATTCATTGCATACAAATAGTTTGTATTTTCATTTAGTTTTATATGTTAAACAAACGACTTGAAAATTAATCATTTTATTTAACATTTCTTTTAACGGAAATGTACGTATGTATGTAGATTCGTTTCTTCTGCAAATTATGAACTGTATATAGTTATTGAATTACTATTTATAAATTGTTCAAATAATGAGTAGTATTTATTTTGTAAGTAATAATCCTAATGTTAGTTGTAATTAGATTTAAATTAAAATTAGTATTAATTTATTTTGCAAACTGAAACACAGGAATTTAACACAATACGCATATATTTATAAGCAATATTTATTAAACATTTTGTAAACAAAGAATCAAATCAAATATTAAAAAAATAATTTTGTATAATTGAAATTATAAAAGTGTGTTTTTTTACATCAAAGTGATGATTGGAGGTTGATGTTTTGGTTTCTAAAGCTCAATTTTTAACGAACCTCAATGCTGTTTGTTCTTGGGATCGGTAATGCAGTGTGTTTATTTTTATTTTGTAGCATAATTTAAGGCTGCAATGAAATAAACTATTTATGAGAGCTGGTATTTAAAAAAATCTACTGTCACCTAAATAAAACCGTTGATTTAGGTATGGCAGTTATGGCTCAGCAAGTAAATTATAGAGTAAACAAATTTATAATTCCCCGTTTCTATAGATTAAAGAGAAAAATTGATAACTATGTCGTTCCCATAACAATCGAATCTTCGCTCCAGAACCACCCGAGTCATACTCGACCAAAGATTGTATCAAAAAAATGTTTTGTCCCAGGAAAAAAACTGCTACAACAACCAACAATGCAACTTGATAAAATAAAATATTTCAATATTTTAAAACAAATGGTTAAATTTTTCTTTAAAACTTTTATTTAGATTTGGGAAACAAATCGCATTATTAAATTGCAAATTTACAGGAAATAATACACTTTCTGAGTTTATTTGCATTCGATTTAATTTATAAATTAAAAATTAGAATTCATATAATATATTTTCGGAATAAAATTCAAAAATAGAATGAATTTCTTTACTTTTTTTCTCGATATAATTAAGTATTTATGTAAATGTTGTAACTTTTGTATTACTAGAAAAATGTTAATCAACTTTCGATACAAATGCGTTGATTTCAATAAATTATTCAATAATAAAATGCAATATAGAATTAAATATAGATACAAATCTTATTAAGTAGAGAAATGAAAATTCGACAAATTTGGGTGATTACAAAGAAAAATTTAAAAAAAAGAAAATTAAAATATATTCATCTTTTATAACAATAGATAATATATATTATTTAATTAGTACGAATTCTTTGACGCTCTAATTGGCGTTATTAAACTATTATTTTATTTAGCAAAAACCATTATAATAATTCTTACTACAGAATCATTAAAGCTTTGTGTATTAATATTTAAATTTGTAGAAATTGATGTATGTAGGATGAAAAAAATTTAAAACAGATATAAATTTCTATACAAAATGAATGTGGTTTTTACTCTAAAGATTTATTTTATAATTGTTTTTGTGCTCAATACTCTCTAACTTTATCTAATAGAAAACATTTTAGATAGAATATACAATGATTAAAAAATTAAATTTTAGTCAAACTAAACTTCTTTCTGAAAGTAGTAATAATTTTGTAATAAGGTCCCTGAAATCTAAATTCAATTACAAATAAAGGAAAAAAATGAAATATTAATTAATCAGTCATAATTTTATATTATACAATACCAAAAAGTAAAAGTTTTGATTTAATGATATAATCCACTATTAAAAGTAAACTTAAGGAAGGAATTGATAGATAGATGATATACAGCTTCATTAAAGTGAGTTAATTAGTTTAAAAATATTCTAGTTATTTTGGAATGTTATTTATATTAAGCTTAGCTTAATTATATAACTATTCTAACCAAAACTAAGTGAAAATGAATGTATGAATTCGTTATGTTTTTTATACTACAATCTTTGGTAGCTTTAGATTTTTTAATAAACTACTCGTACAAAAACAATGAAAAGAAATTGACAAAAAGTTTAAAGAAAGAAACTGTGTTCATAATACTTGCAAAGTGAAAATATTTAAGTATTACTTTCTGTTTAATTTATATTTTGATTTGCGCTTTCTGCTTTAGTCTTTTGCCAATTTGCGTTAAATGGTTTTCTTGCTAGAATTCTCATTCCTTTGGGTATTATTGTTTGTTACAGCATGCTGAGGTTGGGTTTCAAGTTTTGGCAAATTTTCACTAATTTTTGTAATATTTTTACTGCTTTTATTATTCAATGTACTATCACTGAATCTAGAATCTGATATGGTTGTTTCAATGTTATTACAAACACTGTTGGTTGATGCAGTCGACGATGGCATTGATGTTGTATTGGCTGTAATGGTTGTTTCATTACGCCAGAAATCAGCTTTTGTTGTAGTTGGTGTATTATTGGCCGTAGCCGATGTTGATGTGGCTGCATTACGTTGTTTCGCTTTTAAGACATCTTTGGGTACAAAGAAAACATTACTCGAGGACATGTTCAAATTTGGTGCTTCTAACCAAAAACGATGTGCTGTCATCATAACACTATCCTTTATTTCTATTAGCAAATGTGTTAGTTGATCAACAATTTCACCAACAGTATCAAACTCATTCGGTATAATGCCATCGACAGAACTTTCGAAGTAGCTGAACATAGGAAACCAGATGCGAGTACGATTGGAATCACGTTGCATTAGTGCTTGATTATTGGCCAATGTATGATAGTACAAAAACAAACGAGATGTTATATAAAAGGCCACAAAAACGTCAATGGAATAATGTTCATGGGCGGCCAAGATAAAGAAAATACCAAACATATTTAACAGCCAACTTAAAGTGTGCAGAAAATACAAGTTGCGGGGAGTATCTGTAAAAAAGAACAGAAACATTAGTACATTTTTTAATCCTTAATTATATACATATATGCAAAATCTTTTATAAAACTTAATTTTAAAGCTTCTAATTCTTTTTCTTTAAGCAATTTCAGATTTTTTTTTAATTTTTATCAATTAATTTTTGGAACTTTTTAATTATTGTTGGATTTTTATGTTAAAATTAGTTTTTTTTTTAGTAAAAAATTGTTTTTTTAGTGAAAATTCATTATTTTATTATATAATATTTTTTAACTAAACCTTAATTTTATAGTGAAAAATCGGTGTCTAATGTCTAAACGATTTTGAAATAAAGAACATTTTATGCTAGATTTTACTTACATTCCGTTATAAAAAAATTCAGCAGTGTTAAGGCCACTGTATGACCGCTAAACATATAATCACCACATGTACGTACACCCTGTATGGACATGCCCAAACCACTCCAAATTGTATAGGCTCTCGAGATTCTTAAAGACAAAGCTTCGGATAGTGTCAAACTGTTAAGACGAAAGTATTTATGTGCATAAAACAAGACAATAGTAATTAGTAAGTATGTGTAAATAAATATTAATTAAAATTTATATAAAAAGATAAAAAAAAATTAAACCAACTAACTTACCCTGTATCATCGATAGCATAATCATTTTGATTGCATTGTAAATGTGTTCCCGGTACACTTAACGATGTTATTAACATTGTTACACAACGCAATAGAAACACTGTACCCGCCAGTGCAAAAAATCTCCTCAACAGAACCATGCGATATTTATGGAAGATACAGACACAAGCCCAAATACTAAACAATAGAGTGCCGGTTATTTCACACATATGAAATGCCCAGGGGATGTGTGGTACATTATCGAGAAATATATCTGGTAGTGGGGGATAACGTTTCATATCAGGCACTCTTTCATGTACGATGACCATCACAAATGATGTTATCCATGTTACAACAAAGGAATAACCTAAAAATGCGAAATGTTGTTTAGAATTTCTAACAAAGTTTTGAAATCCAATAAAAGGTTTTTTATATTTTACTTAAAAATCTAATTAATTTACTAAATGCAAATTGGATAAAATCCAAAAATATAATTAAAAAGTTTAGCCGAGTTAATAATGTAGTGTAAATTTTAATATATAAACGTCATTTTACCATACATTACTGAGGAACATTTCCTTGCATTAAATCAAATTATAATAAGACTCTACATGTTTAAAAAGTTGTGTTTAGTCGCATGTAGGTACCTACGTTTACATGTCAAGCTAATTTTATTTAAAATATTGTGTTCCCATATGTTCATAGCTGGTACGTGTGTACATATTAAATGAAATTAAAAAAAAATTAAATAATTTGTGTGTATAGATAAAGGTCATTTGAGTAGTAATGCACTAAACAAATAAACCAATTTAATTACGAAATAAAACGTTTGGTAAATTGTAAATATTTATTTTTGTCTATTTCTTTTCATTGAAAAACATTTATTTATATACATACATATATTTAAAGACAAGAAGAAAAAAATTAAAAACAAATTGATCGATATAACTACATATGCATATAAATAAAATGATTGTAAATAAGAAGAATTAAAAGAAATCAAATTATAACAATACACTGAGTAAAGAATTTGTAATTTTAGATATACATACATATGTATGTATGTATATGATATGGTTATTGTTTACTCAATCGTACATAGGTCTAACTAAGAATCTTTATTAGAATATAGTTTGTTCATATAAGAACAAATTGATTTCTATTATATTCGATGTTACATATTTTCAATATTTTTTCCCAATTGAAGGTCCATTTATTATGCAGTGGCTTAAAACATTACAAATTTTGCATAATGACACTTTTGGAAAACCAGGTGAGTCAAAAGTTCCTACAGAGGCTAAAAATTGCTGTGGCAAACTTTGCCTAAGTTGAATCAGTAGTTTAACTAGTATGAAAGCAACACAAATTCTTTTTATTAAATTGTATTTTAGTAATGTACAAAAACAAATATTTATTAATATATCCTTTTACATAATGGAAAAAATTTGTTTCAGTGTACTGGTACTGGTAAGGTACTGTAAGGTTCTTTAAATTTAGAAAATTACAACTATAAATTAAATGTATTTTTGTGTGTAAGAACTATTAGTGACGTAAGTTTTAAATAATTCAAATTTAATTGATAAAGTACTAATAATAGAACAATTGAATGGCATTATAAATATTAAAGTTATTTTTAATTCGTATAGCTATTTTAAGCATATTCCGAAATGGAAAGAGGGATTTTATTTCATTAGTATTTCAATTATAAAGTATATGTATATGAGTACATCTTTCGTCAAACCCCATTACCTGTTTCTTTAGATCAATTTTATCCCTCTACTCTGTTTTAAGATGTAAAGGCCCCATTTTTACATAAAAATAATAGAAAGAAGTCATAGGGACAAAACTTGTTTCTATTTGTAACCGATTGTGGCCAATAGGATAGTTTTATGTTGGAAATAACTTAAATTAAAATTAAATTAAGTTTGTGTCGGCACTGCATGTTTCATATGTTCTTGACATGCCATGTAAACTATGTTATTTATACCTCGAAGTACCTTAAATGCGTTTCACACATTCTAAAATAAAAGCCTCTAAATCTTACTAGTACTTAAACAAAGTCTAAATGTTTTATCAGAGAGCTTATAAAGTAATAATGAAAATCGAAGAAATGTAAATGATAGCAGTTACGTAGTATTAGTATGTTTTCAGTCCTAACAATTTAATCTTAAACAATGAATGACCTTGCACTTGTTGTGATTGCTTAGAATCAAACAGTGCCTTTGTTTACAAACAAATTATACCAATTTTACTTGCATTCACATACATATCTGTAGGTACTTTATTTTTTAAATGATAAATATAATTTTGTTTATATTTACAGTCATTGACTTATTTGCAAAACATATTGAATAACTAAGAACAGCAACAAAAGATAAAGACAGGTGAAATTGTGACAAAATGCGATTATAAATTTATATTATAGGTATGGAGACTTTAAACGTACTACTCTTGCAAAGTATCTAGATACATACATATAAATCTTAATAATAAAGAAATTGCAACAAAACTTACCCAAACTAATTGATGTTTTAAAGAATTCAGGTGGAATGTTAGCAGAACAACCTTCCGAGACAGACGACATTTCTGGAGCGCAACTTTCACAATCATTAAAGGTACAACCATCTAGAAATGTACCGCAGCTTCTGTTGGCGCAACTACAACTGAATGCAACTGCTGTTGAGGCCGCAGAGAATGATGGTACTGCACGATGATGATTATGATTGTGATTATGATGAAGTGGAGATCCATCTGCAGCACCCATTCTTATACTAAGATTATTTCTATTACTTGAGTTTTTGCTATGATGTATGTGATTTGTTGGCATATGATGAGCTGGATGTGCATTGAAACGTTGATGCAGTCGACTTTGCTGTAAATGATGTACACTTTGCCATAGTTTTTTAAGTTCTCCAAAACGTAAATTATAATTAAGGCGATAACGAAAGTCTCGTATGTCTTCTTCAGTTAGCGTTAATAAGACTTGGCCATCAATTGCTTCCAGCTGTAGGCATTTGATGACGTTTGGTGTAAATTGTATAACTTTTGTAGCCCATTCGACTACATCCTCAACTTGCCATTGACTTACATCGACCGCAGAAACATCTTCCTTTTCTGTGTAATTACTGAAACTATCATTGGCATTTGTGCTGTCCATATTATGGCAGGTGTCGTTTTCTTCGCATTTTATTGTTGGAATATTACCTGAGGCAGATGTCGTTTCCACTGGATTCATAATTTATAAATATTTTTATTCAATTTTTGTTTAGTTTATAAAGTGCGTATGATTTTTTGTCTTTCAGGTGAAGTGAAATTTTTTAAGTTTCTAAATGAGGTCACGCGCCGCTCAATTACATCCCCATTTATATTTTTAAATTAAATTCTTTCTTTTTTCCACTTTTATCCAAACAATCACTATCACAATTTTCTTTGTTATCTCTTATAATGAATTTATATACTTTCTTTTGTTTTACTTTATTTAGGAAAATGTTATCACTTCTTTATAAATTAATATTTCTTATTTAAATGATATTTTCACTACGTATTTCTCGATGTAAACTGCACTAAAAACTTCACCAAAAAATAAAAAAATGAATCAACAAACGGAATTTCTGCGAATATTTTTTGTTGTTTCTCTTTCTTACTTTTTTCTTTTTTATTTTGTTTTCCATTTGATTAATGAAATAAAAGAAAGCAGCGTTGTAACAGAAAGGTATTAGGTATGAAATATGGTACTTTTTTGTTTGGTTCAAACACAACCCGGTTATTTTGCATTAAAAATTGTGTTTTTTTTTAATGTTTTTAAAATTTCTAGAGCTCATTCGAAAATAACTTTTTGTTTTATTGCAGAAAAATTCGAAACATTCAATTGTAATGCAACTTATTCTTTTTTTGTCCATTACAAATTATATCCTCACATAATATTCCGAGCAGTGGTGACGATGGACATACGCCGGTTGTAGTGAAGCAGACTAGTCTTTTGTATGAATCGAACCCTTCAGCCCCAGACTTACAGGCTAGCACTCAAATCGGTGCACCGTTGGGGGTCCAATCTTGCACACTGGAGGTCGTGGGTTCGATTCCCACCTAAAGGTAAAGGAGCGCTTAGCAGGACGATCTTTCTCTCTAAAAACTCCTACTTGTTTCAAAATTAAAATCCTCTGAACTCGTATTTTCCGAATTTAATCAATTTCTTGAGACAAATTTAGTTTTTAACAAAAGCATTTAATTTCTAAAAAAACATTTTCCTCGTGAACGGTAATACATTATCCCAAACAATCAAAAATTACGATAAATTTTACTCGATTATGAATCCAAAATTATAGTTTTTAATTAAAACTGCTCTCCAAACCCTTAAAATTTATTTTAAATTCTTTATTTAATCTTAAATTGTTATGATGTCTGAATCATTATTCGTAATTTTAGTTTAGTTTTAACGTTAAATTAAATAAATATATTTATGTATATTCATATATTCATTATGTATATGAAGAGAAAAATTGTTAATGTTTAATAATTGTATGTATTTTCGTATGTATAGAGATAAAATAGTAGTTAATAGTTCTTTTGAAGAATTTCGAAACAAATCTTGTTTTTTCCATTATTAATTAAACGATAAAAAAATTATGAAATTAAGGAATAACTTAATAACAAACATAAAATGCAATTTTTAATTTAGTGTAATAATAATAAATGAATTAATAAAATACGTACTAAATTGTGTAGAGATATAAAATCATTGAATGACTTGATATATTTATAAAAATAAAAATAACTCATAAGATTAGAAAAAATAAGAGTTTAAATGGGAGGCGAGTTGATGAGAGTGCAGACAATTTTTATAATTTTTAAAGAACAAAGAAACACGGCATACCTACATTTACTTAAAATATGTGTTTTTATAGTACTTATTGTTGGTAGTAGTTGTAGTGTTTTTCTTTAAATTTCTGTAGCATTTAATTAGGTTTTTAAATTGTTTGTTTTTGTTTCTGTTGATATCTAATTTCTATTGATTTTTGAATTTTTTGCATTTGCTTTCAAAAATTGAAAATAGAATAATATAACTTTGTTTTTCCTTCTCACTTCTTTAATATTTCACAATTGCATTTCGAAACGATTACCAATAAAAGGTATATTTTTCATTAAACACTTTTTCAATGATTAATAGATTTTGCAAAAGTCTGTTATATAATTGTCATAATAAATTAAATTTTTAGTTTCAAGCTTGCAATTTGCGTAAATACAAAAAAGGTTTAGTTTTTTTTATTATGAAAACAAGTAAAGTCACCATCAGGAATAGAAGTAGTTGTTAGCTAATCATTTAAAATGTTCCAGTTATGCTATCTGCGATTAATTCGTTCAATATTTTAATTTACGTTTCCTAAAAGCTCAACCATGTTCGGCTACTAATGTTTCTTTTATACTTCTGCTGTTAATTTAAATTTGTTATGTATTTATAATAGTAACATAATTGTTTTTTTTTTTATTATTATTTTCAGTTTATGTTGTCTTGACTTCCTAGTCTTTGCAGGTTGAAGTGTCCATAGGACTGGCCGGTTGGGCAAAAGTATTATTGGCGCCGCCAGTTGGATTAGTTGGTGTAAATGCGGAATTTGCACCACTGCTCACATTCATTGAATTGGACGTATTCTGTTGTAAATTGAAACTTAACGGATTTGCTTGAGCGGAAGAACTGGTAGGTGGCAAAACTGGTGGTGCAGCATTGTAACCTAACAAAGTGGCTGAATTCAATGAGAGGCGGTCATTGCCCAAACTATTGAGAAAACTAGCCGATGGCCCCGTAGCATTTGAGGAACTTGAGAATAAGCCACCTACAACAGTGGGACCAACACCTGTCGAGCCGGATAAAACATTTGGAGCTGAAGTGTTAAGACCCAACATGGGTGTAGGCAGTGCTGGCTTAATAAAACGTTCACTAGCACGACGATTCTAAAGGGAAGGTAAATATGCAACATTAATAAAACTCTTCTATTTGTGTAAACTGTAGGCAAACTTACAACTACTTGTCCGCATGCGTAACAACGGTTTTGTTGTGAAGTGCCTGGACTTAAGGGGCGGCTATTTGATGGACTATGAGACACTGGACTACTAATGGTACGTTGACGATGAGCATTTAATGCCGATCCAGCCAAAGGTGCACCCGTTGCCAATATATTCTCATTGTAGAAACGTTCTTCATCCATTTCCAATGACGATTCCGATTCAGACAAATGGCGACATAATGCCTCCCGTCTTTCCACTTCCTGCTTCAATTTGCGTTGTAGCCGGGCATTCTCCTCACGAATGGATTTTTCTTCTTGGGCGAATTGTTGGACTTTCTTTGTGGCCTCTTTTTCAGCTGCAGCCAAATTAGCCCTGAGTCGTATAACTTCAGACCTTAGAGTTTGAATGTGCGAACTTAAATTGGAGGCAGTATCTCCGTTAGCATTTGTAATATCACGTGGTGTTGTTGGATCCGAGACCGGTTGATCAAGTTTAATTTGTAACAAGCGTTTTTCGGTTTCTAATTTATCCATACGCTTCCACAGCTTATTTACCAATGCCTCCTGCTCTTGCTCCAATGTATTCTCAAGTTCAACCATTTCTCTACGCAGCTGCTCAAGATTTGTTTGTTTGTTGTCAGTTTCGGCTTGAAGTTTTTCGATTTTTCGCATTAATTTATTAACTAAACACTCCTGCTCTTGTTCGAGTGTCTGCTCTAATTTACATTTTTCTTGACGAAGCTGTAATTGAAAGGGAAAACATTGTCAATTTGCTAATAAATTTTTAATTCTCCGAATACCTGATCTAGTTTTCTGGACAAATCGTTGGTTAGACATTCTTCTTCACGTTCATAGTGATGCGCTAAAGTTTCCTTTTCTTTTTTTAAAGCTTGAATTTTTTTCAAAAGTGTATTAGAAATATATTCCTCCTCCTGTTCAGCTTTAGCTTGCTATAGAAAAAAAGTACCGGAATTAAGTTAGAATTGTAATTTTGCAAATGCATAGAAAAATAAAATGTACATACTATGATTACGGACGCTTGTTTAAGCGTGCGATTTTCCTCTTGAACAACTTTACATTTGATTTTCATAGTATCCAATTCAGCTTTCAGGACTCTAAAAATTATTAAAAATTAATAGCAACTTTTAGTTGAAAGACTACCTATGGTGGAATACTCACTTATTTTGTTGGGTCAAGGATTCTATGCGTTTTTGTAATTGTTCCCTAGATACGGGACTTGGGGGCAACATGGTACCACCATCCAATGAACTTTCGGATTCACAAGGACTTTCCATGACTAGATCGGATAGAAAAAATTTTATTTATAATCTTAAAATATGTACATTAAATCCTTTTGGAAAGGAGTAACAAACAAAGAATTTGCTATTATTTCGTTTTTCTATTTTTTCATTATGTCAAACCCAACGAAGCATAGAGGAAAAAACTTCATTTCTTTTATTGGTTTCGTTTAATTTTTTCGTTTTTTTGCCACTGCAATCATTGCATGTTTTGTGTGGACACAGTGGCGCCGCCTGTTTGCCTGCATTCATTCTACGTAAGTGTTTGTAAGTCTGTATGTTTGTACTAGCGACTTGACTTCTTTTTTCTATTTCAAGAAATCACATTGTTTCTCGTTCGTAAAATAAGAATTTTTTGCGTCTTTTGCTAAATTCGAGTTTAATAACCTCGATTTTTTATTCTTATTATTTTTTGGTTTCTCATTACTGCTGAACAATTTTTTGTTTAAATCCTTGTACTTACTTGGTTTGGTTTTTTAAATTTTTTGTCTGCACCTATTTTCTTTTCTGCGATTTTCTTCTTTTTTTGTTTAGCTGTCGCCACTGCCAATCGTTTGTTAATTTTTTATTTTACGTTTTGGATTCAAAATTAAAGTATTTATTTGATAAGATTTACACTTGCTAATTTTTTATTAAGAATAATAAAAAATTATACGCTATTTTACATGGTATTAAAATAATTTAAACGATTTTTCAACTTGATCAAAATTACAAAAGAAAAGAGAAATGAATGACGAACAAGGCGACAGTGTTGCCACGTCTGTACGGCAAAGACGGCAATTGCAAAAAAATAGACAAGCAAACGAAAGACTTAAAGAAATAGAATGACATTTATGTCCAATTAGAATTTTTCTCGCATAACATTTGATTTCTTGCTAAGTTAAAAACATTTTATTAATCTCTATTTATTTGTAAATAATGTAATTTTGCTACGTGAAGGTAACATTTGATTAATACAAAACCAAAGTGTTTTAATACACTTTGCACAAAACCTTATGTGAATCAAGAAGTAGAAAAATTAGGAAAATGTAACACCAAAAATCAACTTTGAAACAAAAATTATTTTTCTGATTTTTTACTCATTTTTGTCTTATTGATCTATATTTACATATTCTGTATAAGCAGTCTTCAGCCGGTCGCAGGAACTTTCCCTTATCGAACACCCGCTTCGCTTAAAAAGATTTTTTTGTGTATTAAAGTTTTTAGAGTTCCATTTTATATGACTATGAAACATTTTAGGAACATTTTCGTGATTATTTTCAAGAATAAAACTTCGACATTTTCCAACAAAGACGATTTATAAAACTTTACTATCTTTTCACTTGGAAAGGTTGACAGTTCGACTTTCTTCATAATCAAGCTTATATAATCTGGCATCGCTTTTTTATCAACTGCAGTCAACTTCAGTATTATATATCATATGTAATAATTTTAATTTGTCAATTTGTGATTTCGAGTTTAGTGATATTTTTTTTGTGATTTTTCTAAAAAAAGACTTGAATATTGTTTTCATTTGTTTAAAATTAAACAATCGTGATGCTGCCATTTTGTAATACTAATAAAACGATATATATTAATCCTAATTTTAAAGGAAAACTGCCTACACCAGATAATGGTGTATCATTGCAAACGCAATCTGTCATTCCTAAAAATGCCCATATAAATCCTTTATTCTTGGAAGCTCATAAGTATAGGCAGACAATTCACATGAATCCAGCATTTTTACAAAAAATTCAAGAGCGCCAGCAAATACAACTACTCCCACAACAACAAGAAGTGGAAGATGCCAACAAGAGTAAAAACCTACCAGTAGAAAATGATTCATGTAAGTTCTTGACGACTCAAACGGCAATAAAATCTTTAAGTGAAATGAACCCAATTTCCGAAACTCGTAAGATTATATGCAAGTCTAAAAACCGTTTAATAAGGGAACCTTTGATTAAAACTGAATGTCAGCCTCCAAAGCTATCGAAACCTACTATTCCGCTACCGCCATTATTAGTATTAAGCAAGCGTAAATTAATTAGAAAAGTGTCTCCGGTACCAGTAGCATTTAATAAAACCGAATCCAAGTGCTGCGATGATACTAATACAAGGATAACAAAATACAAATTGGATAATCGCGTTATTAGGAAGAAGGCCATACTTCCGCCCACACCAAAAATTAAACGTACATCCTTCGTGGGTCGCTTTGCACTGAGAAGAACTTCTATAAGCCAAATTTCGAATACATTAGCTAAGAAATCACTAACAATTAATAAAAATACAAATAAAAAGTTGCAAGTTCTTAACATTAATGGTCTGCTTTATAAATCTACACAAAACTCTTTAAAGTTAAAGGACATGGCAGCAATTAGACCATCTAATACCTTATTGAAATCATCTAAGACTATTTCAACCAGTCCAAAGACATCTAATGATAATATAAAGCCAAATCAAGGTTTGACTATATTCGTAAGAGGAACTAAATATGTTATGGACGCTAATAAATTTAAATTAACTAGAGTAACAAAAAGTGATCATACTCCCACCAACATTACGCCTAATAACCAATCATCACAGACACCAACTTGTAAACGTATTGATATTGGCGGCTATACCTATATATCCGTCAACTCGGCTAAAAACGTCCTGATTCGTACAACAAATCATTTATCTCGTGCTTACGTTCACAATGCCAAACAAAAGAGTCTGCAAATGCTAACGAAACGTTTGGTTAAAACTAATATACCGTGTCCCATCTTCCAACGCATTGGCAAATGTGCAGCATTCGAAAGAGGGAAATGTTCTAAAGTTCATAATAAGTTGCAAGTTGCTATCTGCAGCAAGTGAGTTTTTTTTTGTAGTTTTTAAATACTTTTTCACAAAAAATATAATTTATCCATTCAGATTTCTACGTGGTGAATGTCTTAATACAAGCTGTTTATTGTCCCATAATGTCTCGTTATCAAAAATGCCTGTATGTAAGTTTTTCCTTCAAGGGGTATGTGTTCGAAATGATTGTCCCTATCTGCATAAAAAATTAAGCAACAAAGCGGAACTCTGTATAGATTTTCTACGAGGTTTTTGCCAATTGGCTGATAAGGTATGTTTAATGTTTATTGCCTACGCTACTACAGTAGCTATAATAATATATAGATCAATGTTCTTGATAAAAAAGTTTTTTAAGCTGAAACTAAAGGTTAATGTTTCTTTTTTTCTTCTACATTTTAAAACAATTGTGCAAAAAGTGTAATAAACGCCATGAATTTGTTTGTCCTGAAGTTGAACGAAACAATGTATGCAGCACCAAAAACTGTATTTATTGTAATGCCAAAAGGCGAAAAGAATCCAAAATAGATAAGAAATCATTTAAATTTCAAACTAAAGATACAATACAATCAAATACACAATTGGCCACAGCAAGCAGCTCCTCAGAAGTCGTAGAAAATCCGTCTTGCAATCGTTACTTCATAGAGCCGTGTGATAAAACAAATAAAGATTCGAATGAAAGTAGTCAACAGAATGAAGACAACGACACTGATATGGATGTAACAAAGGAGTGTTTTGAAGAAAATATTGAAAGTTGTATAAAAACACGTCCAAAATTAGGTGTTTTGCCATCTTATATACCATTGTGATCGGAAGAGTGGAGGAAAGAAAGAGATATTCCAAACGTCAGGTACAAAAATATATCACGTATGTTCTTAATATATTAATTTAATTTTTAGTTATATTTTGTCTTACGACCCTATTACGTTTTACTTATTATTATTAACTGCCATGCGGTAGTCTAATACATAAATATTTTTTCAGAATTAAAAATAAAAGTGATGATTATATAAAAATAAATTAAAATAAAATGTTGTTTATTTATAAAGTTATTTCATAAAAATTAACGGAAGTTAAAATCGTAAGTACGGATGGTTTAGTTTTTGAAAATTTAAGTCTATTGAATAGAAAAATATCTGATTTTATTGAAAGTTCTTTTTTTTTTGAAAAATCAAATTTATAACTGAAAATTTGATTTTTTAAATAAAATTTTAATTTTTAATGAAAGTTTTGTTTTAGAGGAAATGGATTTTTCGAAAATTAGTTTAAAAATTAGACGCAAAAATACATACCGTGACAATCAATATCAAACTTTATTGTTCATTTGCATTTATGTATTTTAATTTATTTAAATGTATGTTGTATATATGTATTGAAATATTATTTACTTATTAAATAAAATAAACAATGACAAATATATTTCTTTAAACAATAAGTACTTGTGGATTTTATAAATAATTTACTTTCTTTGTTGCTGGATAAAGTGCCTTCAAATCAATAATACGTATATGTATGTATGCATGTCCATGAAACCAATTATAACTATAAATGTAATATTAAAAATTTTCCTAATTTATTTAAATTTAAATATGTATATTGATGCTACTACTTAAATAAATTTTATAAAAATCAAATTGTTGCTAATTTGTTCCAACTGTTTATATATTGGTTTCGTTTTCTTAAAAACAAAGAAGAAACATAAGCCAAAGTATTTTGGAGATCTTAGGAGCTATTGCAATTGTTTTATACACACGGATATTATGAAAATTTAGGTAACAAGTAGTGGGATTTTTTACGGTTTAGTTTAGTATATTTTTTATGTTAAATTTTCTTTAGGTGGTTTAATGTTGCAAATGTTTTACATACATATGTAGGAATAAGTAATTTTGTATATTTATTGGAGTTAATATAAGGAATAATATATGTATGTATACATATGTTTTTGGATGTATGTATGTACGTACGTATATATCGAATATTAAAATATGTATGTTTTAATTGTTATGTATGATTGGCATGGATTATGTTTATTAATAAATGTTTGCGATATGATCAATATGTATATGATTATAATATCAAATGGTATTTTTATAATATTGCAGGATTATTTAATGCATAATATTTATAAATATTGAGAAATATTTTCGAGTAACAAAAAGAGGAATGTTATTAGTTGAATAGATGATTTGGAATTTGCTTTATTTTCCTTAAATAAGTATAAACTTGGGTGGCAATTAACACAATAAAAAAAAAAGAAGAAAAAAAATCTATAAATTAAATGATGATATTATACATATTCGATGTGTCTATATTTTCTTCTCTTTATTAAAAAAGTCACATTTAAATTACACCTACAACAAAACATTCTATATTTAATAATAAAAATTTTATAATATTATGAGGGAATGTATTTTTATGATTTAAGAAGGAATTAATTGCGAAAGAAATAAACTCAATACTTTATGTACTGAGGAATAAAAAGTTGTTTCGAAAACAAACATTTCACAGTCTAAGTATTTCTAGGAATGAATTTTAAAATTTCCCTTCAAGCATTTGGTTTTCAGCCAAAAAGTTATTTATCTAAAATGAATTTAATAATTGTTTATTATGTATTTATTTGCGCTGTAGTAGGAAAACATGTACGAATCTTTTTTATATAGAAAATAATTAATGCAAGTACTATAAGACGATGTTATGGTTTGAAAAAATGTCTATGTAAATGAAAAGATAATAATAAATAATAAAAAAATTTAAATATCACAAAGGCAGAGATAAATCATATAGAAAGTTATAAATAAGTAAACTTAGGAATTGAGTATTCTAGAGACAAAAAAGGAATATACAATATATAGGATATATGTATGTAGATCATGGAACTAAAACATAATTTACTCATCTAATGCTTTTTAGAATCATATTGCTTAACTTTTTCAGGTATGGCAGCCTTTTCTAAGGCTGTAACATACTGTGAAAGTTCATCCAAAGATTTTACATAAACTAATTTGCGCCAAAATTTAGTGCTGCAAAAAAATAGAAAGAATAAATAAATGCTAAATTTCTGATTATTATAAAAAAATAAAAATACGCACCTAACAAAAGGTCTTGTCATCCAAATTATAGATTTTATCCAAAATGTAGGATGCACAAGATACATATTTTTTAAGCTTTTTCTTAAACGACGATCCAGTAGTTGATAGCATCTAAAAGTAGAGGAAAAAGTTATACATTTTTTAAAATGAGGTTCATTTGGAAAATAAATACGTTCTCAACTAATTACACTTACTTCTTAAGCCATGGAAATGGTGGCATATTACGACGACTTGATCCTCCATGCAAATAAATCAACACGTAGTCATCAGTAACCAACTGTTCCAATGTTTTGACAACATACAAGAAGAGATTATCCATAACATAGCTGTAATCAGTACGAGAACGATCTGGCAAATGACAGGCACAAAAGATAACAATGGCATTATGACCTCCGGCCTTAAGATAGCCTCCATGTGATAAGACACGTTTATATGGCTCAATAACTCGCATATCTATGTCACGGGTTCTTCCATCCGGCAAAGTGATCTTTTGCCAGTTACGCGAGTCACGTCTTTCTTCGGCGGCTGAATATTGGGGGAGTTGTTGGTTATCTGCAGAATCTCTGCAAGGACTATTCAGCGATCGGCCCGGAGTAGGCGTAATATGTCCAGCAGTATGATAGAATTGTTGCTCATCATCGACATAATCGTCATCTGGTAGCAATTCAGGGCCTTCGCAATCATCGTCATCATCATCGTCGTCGTTGTCATCATCGTCATCTAGACCATCTATTAGAGAGCTTGACGGACTTAAAGAGGCTAAGTTGTGTTCTTCATCACCATCAAAGCTATGATTAGATATGGAGTCTAGAGAGGAAATGTCTTCGGCTTTTTTGGCATTTTTTAAATGTTTGTTTTGTGCACCATCATTTATATCTTTCTTTGGCATCAAAGCTACCGTCTGATAGTTGGTATCGACTGTAGCTTGATATTGGGAGACATTTATCTCTGATCCACTGCTCAACAGATCCGGACTACTTGCTCTAAAGTTAGCACTCTTTAAAGCACTTGGCTTTAAACTATGCCCTATTAGCTGCTGCTTGTTGTTTTTTGTCAATTCAGAGATTGTTTTTCTATCACAGTTGATATTTTTCGAATTTAATATAGAGACTTCATGTTGTTCCCCTTGTTCTATGGGTTGAGGTATTTGTATATGTAAACGTTCGCGGGTTGGTACAACATCCGGATAGTTCTTTTGATTTTCATTAATTTTCTCATCGTCAATGGAATTTTCCATGTCCACAGGTTTAACATATTGATGATTATGATGGTTGTGAAGCTGGTTATCGTATTCTGAATCCGAATCAGAGCCAGTGGGTGATAACATCAATGGATGATTATCGGCTAATGTGCGAGATATGTTACTTCGTCTTTGCTGCTGCTGTTGTTGTGTTTGTGGGTCCTCTGGAGGCGATTCAATAGTTAAATTTTGTAACGGCTTTAAGATGCGGTTGTCCAAATTTGTTGTTGTCTTATTATTCATAACTTCGTTGTCGTTATACATTTCTAGAGCACTCGAATTTGTGGTGTTCGTATTCTCCTCCCCCACCAGTGATTGATGATTGTTGTAGTTTGCTGTATTTTTTGCTATTAGCGATATGCGGAGATTTTCTTTCTCCATTCGTTCAGTGTTATCATTTAAAGAGACTCCACCTGAATCTAAGGATGTTGTGTCAGAAATATCCATTTTACCATCAGACGACAGTGGACTATCCTCTGAATGAATCAAACTGAAAATGTTTAAATGTGTTCCCTATATGAAGATTTCCTTTTAACGAATTCCAAAATAATTGTCAAAGATTTTGCATTTGAGTTAAATCAGTCACGAATATCAAAGTATCAGTGATCTATCATCTGTGTTACGAGTGTCAAGTGTATTTTCGAAATGTCCTTTAAATGGCGACTATAAAAAATATTGGCCGACCGCTTCTCATTTTAGTTAAGAGAACTAAATTTTGCAAGTAAATTTATTTAAAATGAGCGACAACTAAATATATTTCAGAAATTTTAAACTACAGGAAAAAAATGTAACTACTTCGTTAATGTTTGAATTCGTGTGTTAATATCCCGGAAGCTCTCCCTGTCGAACATTCGTACTAAAAATTTGTAATGAGCAATAGAGCAAAGCGATCGAACCTCGCAGGTTGGGAATATAGTGACGGTAATTTAACGATTTATTTGTATGTTTATCTGGCTCCTAGAAAGACTGACTGTAGCGGCGCGACTGTGTGTATATCGATTTGTCATCATCATATGCATCATCATTAACAATTTATAACAAAAAAAAAATACAAATGTTTTTATTTACCTCATTGTATTTAATGTATATTTAATACTTAATTAAAATGTATGTACATATATTTATTCGTTGTTCTTTGTTTTTATTAATATCGGAACATTTTAGCAGCAGTTTTTAATAAACTTTTTGTTTTTTCCCTATTTCAAAATTTAATCACACCAATATACGAAAACAAGAAAAATTTATATATAATTCTGCTTCAAGGCGAATTCATTTAAGGTGGTATCATGGTATATTTAACAAGGTAGTCTCGTCGCTACAACAAATACAATAATACAAAAACAACAGGCATTTTGTTATTGTAAAATAGGCCAAACTGTCAAAAAAAAATGTGTGTGTGTAATAGAAAAACAATAAACACAACAGAAATTTGCGATTTTTGTTTTAAAAATTTAAAATAAGAACTGAAAGAATAAGAAATTTCTTTATTTGCATCCATGTTTACGTAAATAAGTGTCCGGAATATTGAATATCATAAAATTTAGCGTTCAGCTTTTGTGGTTGTTAATGCATTTTAACATCAAGTCATGATTTTTTAGATAAATGTAAGTAACAATTTCAGATAAAGCATAACAGAATGATAATTTTTCCATAATTTCTCTGAATTAGCTTCATCTGCATAACAAGTCTAAACAAAAATAGGTGAAAATTAAACTAATTCTAAAACTGTAGGTAAGAATGTGAGTGCATCTGTTATCAAGCGTCCCTAAAACTTTTACAGAGGTATCGAACTTCGTTGATTAAATTGGTGGTTTATACAAAGGTCGCTTCTATATAGCTTTTACAGAACCAGTTCCTGGGATGCTCTTTAATTTAAAATTATCATCGCCAAACTAGAACAGATAAAAGTAGGTAAATTGCATGTGTGCTATGTTTGTGTGTCACACAAACATAGGTCACGTTAAGTCTTAACTCCGAGTACAAAAAAGCAATGAGTGCCACATTGAAGTCACACACAATATTATTATTATCCAATCTCCATTATTTTAAACTAATTTAATTGAATTAATAAAAAATATAAAACTTAAATTTATTTTTTTACAATATTTCACAATTATTTTGAAAGATTTTTTTAAATTCAAATAATTTTAAAATTTTCCATAGTAACGTAAACAAACATTTTGACAAATTGGCCTTAAGCAGCTGATAATCAGCTGTGCTGATGAGTATACCTTCTTAATCTACCTTGGGTGGTATTATTCAATCAGCTGATTTTTTTTTTACCCTTGACTTGTACGCATTGATGTTAGAGTTTGTTATTGTTTACATTTTTATATTCAAAAATTTTCGTTAAAACAGAGATAAACTTCGTTAGTATTTTGAATAAATTATGTTAAAAATCTGAAAATACCAAGGATTTTGTAAACGAATATTTTTCTTATATAAATAATGAATAATTGGTACGCATGTACCAACTTAATATAACAATAATATTTTTTTATCAAATGTTACCAAGTTAAACAATATTGTTTTATATTTTATATTTAAACTTTGTAAATAACGCGATTAACTAAAAAAATTCTGTTCCGGAACACTTTATATAAAACCCCACATGAGGTATTTACCCGAACGGCGGCAGCTGTCTTGTATGTTATGGTCAAATTGTGAGATCTAAAAAAAATTAATAAATTGTTTTATATTTACACTGTGTATATAATGTGATTAACTAACAAAATTCTGTTCCGGAACGCTTTTTATAACAAAACCCATATGAGGTATTGAATTGACTTCTAACTGTTTGGGAATTTTGTTTTCAAAACTAGTTTACTCGTCCCGTTTTGACTAAAAATTAAAAAATGTTAAGTTTTTAACAATTAAAGTAAAATTTTCAATTAAACAATTAATTTGTTTCTAATTTGTATGAACAATGTTGCAAACCAAGAGATATAATATTTTGTTAAAATCGCTAGAAATTTCAAACAAACAATCGTGGTATATTTTGCTACTCTTTTTTGCAACATTGTAGGCACTGTACTTTAATAATTTTTCTGATTGTTTTGTTTTGATCAATACAGTGCGTAAATAAATTACAAAAAATTAATCATAATAGGCCGAGAAAAGTTAAAAAGCTATTAAATGGCTACTACGACGTCTGGCACAGCGGACAATTTAAGCGAAATACCCGTCTCGAATCCAATGCAAAATCTACCCATTGAATTACAAAACGACCAAAAACGTAGAAGGTAATGAATGATGCATGGTTTTCATCACGGAATTTTTTACTAACTATTATTCTTTAGCTCTTCACGTTCCATTAAACGTAAACGTTTTGATGACGAAATTGTGGAGTATAGTATAAACTTACAATCTCGAAGCGATCAATCTAGAGGTGGCCGATTACGTACAACTTCACAAACTTATTTGCCATCTGTGCAGCCGCCACCACCTCCTCCTCCAGTACCAATATTACAGCAAACTACTGTCTCTACACCAGTTTCGACTTTAACAACAACGGCACCACCAGATTTGTTAACAAATAGTGATAAATCGATTGTATCTGTTGCAAGTACTGGAGTCACTGTGCCTCCAGTAACTGCTGCTGCTGTTGCTCCAGTTGCGGGTTCGCTTACACAACATAATGTAGTAAGTATGGATAGACCCTCGAATTTTATGACAAGTGAGAGAAAACGACCAGCACGTTCTCAACAGAAGAGAACTCGTAAATCTGGTCGCCCTCCTAGTCAAGTGACAACAAAAGATTTGGGCCGATGGAAGCCAATAGATGATTTGGCCTTAATAATTGGTATATTGCAAACAAATGATTTGCGTATGGTTCATAGAGGGACAAAGTTTTCGTGTAAATTCACTTTGTCAGAATTACAAGCGCGCTGGTTTTCTTTACTGTACGAGCCGGCAATTTCGCGTATTGCTGTTGCCGCTATGCGCAATCTGCATCCAGAATTAGTGGAATCGGTTCAAAGAAAAGCTCTATTTAGCATACAAGAAGAGGAATTGCTAAGCAACATAAAATCGGTAAGTAAAAAATTAAAAATTAGATTTAATTTTTAACTATTATAGTATATTGAATTTGTAGACCGATAATCCCAAATTGGAACAATTTCAAGAGTTGTTGGACAAAAATGCTTCGGTGTTTTATAGTGCTCGTACAGCCAAATCATTACAAAATCATTGGCAAATGATGAAACAATATCAATTATTGTCCGATCAGGTAGTTAAACCTCTTCATATTAGCGATCAACCATTAAGTTTCTCCGATGCTGAAGATCTAATTTTGGACGCTGAGTTAAACGATCAAAGAGATGAAGCTTTGGAAATCGAACTGTCATTGGCTGATCGGCAAAATAAAAGGGAGATACGTTTGTTGGAAAATGAACTTAGCCGCTGGAATGTTTTGGTCGATTCCATGACTGGGGTTGGCATAGCACCGGAATTCGATGGTCAAACATTGGCCGTTTTACGAGGTCGTTTAGTAAGATATCTTATGCGTTCAAAGGAAATTTCATTTGGTCGTGATGCCAAGGATTGTGTGGTTGATGTCGATTTGTCTCTCGAAGGACCAGCCACCAAGATTTCACGAAGACAAGGTACAATTAAATTACGCAGCAATGGCGATTTCTTTATAGCCAACGAAGGTAAGCGACCCATATTTATTGATGGTGTTCCTTTATTGGCTGGCAACAAAACGAGATTGGCAAATAATTGTGTTGTGGAGGTGAGTTTAAATTCCATATAATAATAAAAATAAAAAAAAATAAATGTATTTATTCTCATATGTATTTTTTTAAGATTTCTGGACTGAGATTTGTATTCTTGGTTAATTATGAGCTAATTAACGCTATACGACATGAAAGTGCTAAAACTACATCGCCACTTAATTGAAGGATTTATTTCTTTTTTTGAGTTATATATAAAATACTTTTTTTAATAAAATATACTATGGATTTTATCTAAATGTCCTAAGTATCTAACTATATGTTTGTATTATGTTGAGGTAGATTGGGAATCTGGGCGGTCTTCTTGGTCCCTGGTGTGCTGGTTGCATGTTGTTGTTTTTTTTTTTTTGTAGATTCTTGTGTGTGGAAGGTTTTTGTGGTGTCGTTTTGAGTTTTCTTGGGTTGAATGTTCCTGTGCGTGGTTTTTCTTTTGTTGTTGAATTGTGTAAATGGAATTTTGGTCTTTGCATGTTGAATTGTGTTGTTTCGCTTTTGTTTGTTTTCTTAGTTGTTCAATGTATATTCTTTGTTGTTGACATGTCAAAAAGAAAATAAAATAAACATCAATAAGGTGACTCAAATATTAAGATGATTTAAAAAAAATAGGGTTGCCGGATAGGAAATATGATGGAAGGAAGAGAGTTAGATAAAAGGTCTTCTCTTAATAAAAAAAAAGGCAACTTCAAGGCCAAAGGCAATAGTACAATGACCCAAATATGACAAATGTACAAAGTGCTCTGGGAAAAGAAAAGAAAACGTTGTTTTTTTTTTATATATAATATTTGTTTGTACAAATTGTCCGTTACTTTCTTGTGTGGTTTTTTAGGAAAATTAAAGTTAATTTCAATCAGATATAGAAAGTAACTCACAAGTGAAACAAGTGTGTACCAATTACATTTAAATATAACAATAAGGTGAACATATTGAATATAAACTGTTCAAGAATATATTGACAACAGGTACAAGTGCCTTCCAAATATACCAGAAATAGTGAATATTCAAAGAAACCAGTGAGTAAAAAGAAAAAAATAAAAACGTTAGAGTAAAATAAGGTGATTAGTTTTGAAATTATGAATATTTTTTTTATATTTAATAAAATAGAAACGTGTCATAGGACAAGCAGACGGGGAATTGTATGAGAATAACTCATGAACCTTGCGGAAAAGTCCATACGACACCTATTCTGGGAGTAGAATAATCAAATTCAAATTTGGAGGTAATACTGTTCTTTATATATATATATTTAAAATTACATTGGTAGCCCAGTAGTGGTATAATAACACACGTCATCTACAAGTCACATTATTTGAGTTGAAAAGTAATTCTATAAGAAACCCTGGATCAGAACCATTAATCAGAATCAGAACCTGCGAATACGTTCCACAAAATAAAATTGACTTTATAGCAAAAAGGCATTAGGCTAATACGAGTTAGGTTAGGTTAAGTTATATATAATTAATTTGTTTAGAATAAGTTTAGGCTTTTAATTTTTAAGAAATATAATTGTTAAGTTTGATATTTTCTTTGTTTGTGAAGGGATCGAACTAAATACAATAATAGTAATTTTCGAAAAAAAAGAAGGCGAGGAATAGTATATTAGAGCCTCAAAAGATTCATCCTTCAGGGAGCTCCTTTAGGGATTTGAGAAAAAAAAAAAAATATAGAAATTTAACGTTTTAAAATAGTGAGTAAAGTTTTGAAACTCAATAGAAAAGTTGTTTTAGTTGATCCTTATTTAGTTTGATTGTGTTATTTGTATAGGTTAAATGTTTTTTTTTATGTTTAGTCATTAATTTTATATAGATTAAGTTTAGTATTAGAAAAGAAATTAGTTTTTAATATCATCCTTATATAGAAAAAAAAAATTACTTAAATCTTGAAAACCCATTCTATTATTCAAGTTTATAGAAAAACTGAATAAATAGCGTGTGTCGATTTTCATTGTTTGGTTAAAACAATTGAAAACAATTGGAGAAAGCAAAATTTTATGAGCTATTTCAAATAAAAAAAAAAAAAAGGAGAATTAGAAAAAGAAAAATTATTATTGGTTAAAGTAACCGTTCGTTTGAACTTAAATGTTCTTTATGTTAGCTGGAAACCCCGGAAACGAAGGATAAAATAATTATTAGGCAATTAACTAAGAATATAAATAATTTTAAAAAAATAACGTATTTTGACAATTTGAATTTTACAAGACCTTTTGCTATGTATATATATAGAAATCATACCTGTTAGTTTAAGTTATATTGATGTTTATTTTAAGTATTAAATGTAATAAATGTGATTTGAAAAGAAATTTTGTTAAAAAAATGTGTTGCTAAATTTTGTGCAGTTACAGGTACAGTGGGCCGAAGATGTGTAAGTTGGTGATATGGTGAGTTGTTAAATATGTGTATAAGAACAAGAATATGAAAAGGGTCATTAATAGTGTTACGAAATTGAATTTGCATTTAAACTAAACGGTTTTTAACGGCCAGTTCCCGACATTTCTTAGCGACTAACATTTGGGTGGCATCACTAAGCGTTGAAGAGGTGTGTGTCTCCACTAAACATTGACTTACATCAGTAGAAGTATCTAGATGATGGAGCCAGAATAAACTGGAAATATAAAGAAGGTGATGCCCATGTATAAATAGCGGTGGCAATCACCAAATGAGTCAGTCTGTAATAAATCGTCATTGAGTAAAGTTAATAAAGTCAAGTGTGCTTTCGTGTGTTAAAGATAAAAAGACAGCCTTACAGTCTACTATATAAGTTGTGTTATAAAAGTATTTGTGTATAAAACTGTGTAAATAAAGAGTTGTTGTAGTTTTTAACAAATTGACGCTTTTATTTGCAATAAGAAGAATCCAGTTTATTTCAAAAGGAAATAAACGAACGTTTTAAAAGGTAAAACGTAACAATTGGTGTCAGAAGCGGAATTGCATAATAAAAAGCAGTCATGAAGTTCGAAGAACTAAAAGTGGAACAACTCAAGAGAGAATTGAGTAAGATGGAGTTACCGACAGCCGGTAATAAGGCAGAATTGCAAAAGAGGCTAATAGATGAATTCAAGCGGCGTGACATTGACATAGGTACATACGAATTCGAGTACAAAGAAGAAACTGAGATATGTACTCGCTCAACAACGAGCAACATGGACTTAAACACAATGTTTGCCGCTATGATGGAGAAATTTGCTGAAGTTCAAGAAACTTCTAAGGCTAACTACGAGAAACTTCTTACTGACAACGAGAAACTTCTTACTGACAACGAGAAACTTCGAGCTGAGGTTAAAGCTGAAGTAAAGGAAACTTTTAAACACTTAGCTGAAATGGAAGCAAAATTTCAGGAAAGTTCAAGAGCCACAGAAGAAAAAATTCTAGAAGTGTCTGAGGTTATTAATAGCAGAGTAGATGGCATTGACAAAAAGGTGTCAGACTTAGAAACAAAGATGAATGATCTGCAATATCAAGAAGGAGCTGTACGAATCATTCCAGAAACCTCGAGTAGAATAAAAGCCCCTAGTTTTGATGGCACCACACCTTTTAATGTGTTCAAGTTCCAGTTTGAGACAGTTGCCATCAGAAACATGTGGAATAATGAAGAAAAAGCTATAGAATTGATCTTAGCCTTAAAAGGAGGTGCTTCAGTAGTTCTTGAGAGCGTACCAGTGAGCAACAGAAATAATTATGACGACATAATGGAAGCACTACAACGCAAGTACGGTGGAGAACATAAAAAGGAATTATACCGAATGGAATTGCGTGGCAGAGTGCAGAAGGCCAATGAGACACTACAAGACTTTGCATTGGAAATCGAGCGATTGATACAGCTTACTTATCCAGGAGAACATCACCCGTTTTTGGATATTTTCAAGATAGAGGCATTTGTAAATGGCATACGTGATCCTGAGATAAAACATGCGGTTTGTGCCACACCAAAGCCATCATTCGCTGAAACTGTCTCATTTGCGCTGGCACAAGAAACGGCTAAAATAATTTCAAAGCCACAAATATTCAAGGTACGAAATGTCGAGGTTGTCGCTGAAAACAAAAGGAATATAGTCACTGAGATAAAAAAGGCAGTTTTAGAGGCTTTAAATGAGAAACAAAATAAAGCCAAAATCAAATGCTATAACTGTGGTAAAACCGGACATATTCAGCGAAACTGCAAAGCACAAAGAAAACGTACCAGATCGGTCTCACCGCCAAGAAACAACCAACAGGTAAATCATCACTCATCACAAGAATCACCTTTAAAATTAAAACGAGCTAGCACTGAGGGGCAAGAGCTAGCTCCCACATCTGACGGCCCCACAATCTCCATATCAGTAATGCAGCAGAAAAATAGTAATCTAACTGCTGGTGGATACATCAATGGTCGAAAGCACATTTTTACTATAGACACAGGAGCGTCGCTGTCTATTATTAGACCAGATTTAGTTAAGAAAACAATTGAACCACTATGCGGGGTAAGATTACGCACCGCCACTGGAGAGCCTACCACTGTCTATGGTAAAGTAAATGCGAAAGTAATCATTGCCAACATAAGCGTAGATCATGTATTTATTGTTGCCGATATCGTGGACGAGGTAATCATTGGTGCAGACTTCATGATTATGCATGGCATTAAATTACATCTGGGACCAAATGTTATGATTTGGCGAAATGTTGAAATACCTCTTGATGTCGGATATCAAAGTAAGGCCTATGTAAGAAAACTGGTTGCAGTAGATCATCAAAATTTGCCACCGCCACTGGCCGTGTGGGTCAGTGTTGAGGAAGATTGCATGGACAACAGCTTGTGGGTGGCAGAATCAGCATATGTGAAAAGTGACCATGTTACAAGGGAGGTGCCCGTTCAACCGTGCAATGACGATGTGGTTCCTGAGCGAAAGCTTGATCTGCCCAGCTGTAAAGAGGTCGACGAGCTGGATTCCAAGATGGGTAAATGTGCTTCAGCAAAGGCAGCAAATAATTGTGGGAAAAATACCGCCAGGGAATTCACCAAAGAACAAGGACCTAATGAAATCGTTCAGAGACGATTTAAAGTGGCAAGCGAAAAGATGATGGCCAGATATGATCGAGTCGGGAATGTTAAAGAGCCGTTAGTATCACACTTTAACCCACAACGTAGTAAGGGATTGTCTTCCAAACCACAGAATTACTGGAAAGTTCAAAAATTGGACGACGTGGTCTATAGGATACGAAAATGTGGAAGACTGTGAATCTGTGCCTATTCGGGACGAACAGGCTTAAGCGGGGGACAGTGTT